AATAGGGTTCTTAGAATAAGCTAGCAACCTATTCAAGAAAGTCTGGGGAACTGTGGAGCCAAAAGCTCCCACCGCACAGCCTACGTTATTGTACAGGATGGCTCCCACACCGCCTGAGCCGCACTCAAAGGCGCCATCCGTGAACAAGAACCAGGTGCTGCCTGATTTAGGGCTAAGGACTATGGGTACAGCCGAGTCAAGTCTGGCCTTCAGCACGCCTATTGCTTTCACAGCACTAGCAGAAAGGCTGTGTCGCAAAGACCCTGATCTCGCAGCACGATCTAAGGCTCTCATGGCCTGATTTGGCCCACGTCCGAAGCAAAAACCCTCAAAGAAGTTCATTCGACCTCTTAGCCGTTCTGAAAGTTTGGCACTCAGGCAACGATCGGTCAACACCTGGTCAAGAGATTCGTGCAGCTCTGAAACACGCTTCTCCGTGTGTCCGATGCTCACGCGATGTTGCCCAAACTGACTCACGTCAACAACAAGGCCTAGCATGTTGAAGACGGGCGCAAACTCAGGAGCCTTCTTTCCTTCCCTGGCGTACGTCAGGCCTAGCAACCTGAAAAGGGATTCAACGGCAAAGGCGGTGTTTTTCTTAAGGTGAACTTTTGAAACCACGCTGTAATCATCAAAATATGCGGTCCAGAGCACTCTGAGAGCTATGGTGCCAATCATCCATATGGAATTGCTGATTCTGAGAAAAGCAGCGACGGAACCTATAGCTCCGAACGGAAGAGAGTTCACCCCTACTGACACCGGAGAGTCACGGTGCGGGCAGTTGACCCACATGCGAAGCAAATCTCTGTCTTTACAAGAAACAGGAAACTGCTTGTAGGCGGATTTTAGGTCGTACGTTCGTCCACACAACGACGTGCTGGCATCCTTGGACACTTCCAAGGCGTAGGCAAGCATTGACGCCATTCTGTCGATGGCGTGCACGACAAACCTCTCAACCACTCCTACCGTGGCATTCAGGCCACAGCAACTGCAGTCATCTATCACTCGAATCTTGCCGTGTTGATCCAATCCGAATCTTCTAGCATAAACTTTTACATCTTCCTCGCTGTCAGGTGCTTGCCAAATCCATTCGCTCTGCAACTCAGCCAGAGTTTCGTTCCACGTTGCCTGCTCAAGCTCTGGGCTCTGTCGCTGAGCCATCTTTTCGCGCGTGGCCTTGTTCAGACCATCAGCAAGGTGCTTCAACGTGTCAACAGAAAACTCTGGCCTACGAACCTGAGCAGGGAAAGCAGAGCTCTTTGGCAACCAACCGCAGAGGGGAAAACCTGCCATCATGTCATCAATCAAGCCTTTGTCCGGAAGGTCATATTCTTCAATCATTTCTTTCCAGAGAAGCAGCCGCTTCCCCTTCAAAATTNNTTGTAGCTCAGCTTCACGGGCCTCCAGCTCCTTGGCTCTGGCCGTCCATTTTGCTACAAACTTCAATCTCCTTTTAGACAAGACTACTTCATCACCCGAAATGTTTTCATCTACAACCTCTTTCAGGGAAGGCTCCAAGCTAGAAGCAAAGGAGTGCGAGTGCCCTACTTCTACAGCTCTTTGCAGAAACTTTTCGGGAGGCAGTGGTATCCCAAATCTGAAGACCTCAACTTTCGTGTGAGGCTGAGGATCAAGCACCTTGCATTGCACACCTACATTCGGCACCCTTTTCTCGGCCTGCACTTCCCCCCACGTAGAGAAATGCCGAGATAAAAGGTGCCCTTTTGGCGGGGCATCCTGGAGAGGTCGCACTGAATCAACGGGTTGAATGACATGAACAAAGTAGCCAAACTCAGGCAGAAGACGCGGAGCTTTGCGAGGTTGAAGGCCCAGGACCATTCTAGCAGTCGAAATTTCCTGCCTTTGTACAGCCGCAGGCAAGGATGTATCATCAATGGCCCCGGCTTTCAGGACAGCCTGCCTAAGCAAGCCCGCGATCCTTTGGCACAAGAGAGCAGGGTAAGCCTGAGGCGAAGAGGAAAACGACTTGCCTTGCTGAAAACCAGGCTTCCATGCTGAGTGACTGTGCTGAGCTGACTCACCCGGGCAAGAGGCTGTTAAGGGCGAGAGAAAATCAGAGGATGCCCAAAGGGAAACCTGGCGCGGTCGGTCTCCACCATGAGCACACAAATGAAATGAAATCCAATGCGACTGAGGACTCAAGACTTCAAGCGAGCGAAACCACGAAGTGGCCCAGAAGACTGAATGTGTGGGGTTCTCGATGACACACCTGATACCTTGCTTTGAAGCTTTGGTAAGAAGATCGCAAACGGATTCAAAGACCAAATTGGCGGTCTCAAGCTTTCCCTTATCAACACCTCTCAAACCCGGTACTCCATCTGGAAATTCCAACGTCCTCAGGGGCTTCGGGGCAGGAAACACCGCTTTGGCAGCGCGTGACAGTGGTTTTTCCTTGATGCGATTTGTAGTGCTCGAGGGAACCCGAGCCCACACCAAAGCAATGCGATCCGCTTCAAGGCAGAGCATCTGTGACAGGCTACTGACTGCGTCGGGCTGAAGGAGGTCAAACTTAAGCACTCGTACAGCCGCTGCTGCAGAGGGCCTCACATCCAGAGCCAATGTCTGGAATCCTGAGTCGCTGCACGCCTTACTGATGCCAGCTGAGCCGCAACAAAGCTCAACCACTAGCAAATCCTGAAGCTTTGGGTTTGCGAGTGGAGTTCCGAAAGGCGGAACTTCACCTGTTGAAATGCAGGAACCCAAGTTAAAACCCAAATCCCGCAAAGT